GGGAGCAACAATGTTACTGATTCAGTGATAACAAATGTTTGATGTTCATTCGTCTTCCGATAACACCAAGTTACAGATAAAATAATTGATCAACAATATTCATTTTAAGGCAATGATGTGTACAACGTTCAACAGTGATGTTCATCTTTCGCCGATTTCTTGAAGTGAAACATGATAATGTCGACGAATGGATGATTATTGTTGAAGTGCAGAGTGATATTGTTGAGGGATGATGTGTTCGAATTTTGTCACAAATTTACATAACTTCCCATTGATCTGTAATATGTTTGCCGATTCATTCTATGAATAAAGGGTTTTCTCATATCGTCACTGTTTTTTCTATCCATATCGTTGCATGAAAATTCATGAAATGCACATTACAGATTTGTTTATGCTATCAAACTGGATAATGAGCGCAACTCGCCATTCTGAGTTTTTAAGCGCTGCTGGCGTGCTTTATGAACGACAACACAACATCATTCTGTTTGATCAATTTCGCTTTTAATTTTGTTGATAGTAATAGATTTTGATCAACTGATCATTCATTTCATTGGCATCAACAAGTTCCGTAGTAGAATTGAGGAATAACTGAACTGAGTCCACGTCAGCAGTGATGATTAGCGTGGATATACCGTTATCAAGTAGTGCTCATTTGTGGATTCTTATACTGATAAAGTCATCAGCATACGATCTGAGTTTGTGCATCAGCATCGGAAAGAGAAACTCTATTCGAGAAGGACACAGTGAGCCAGTGAATACACGTGGAATCATGAGGATTAAATGCTTGAATAATTAGGAACATTTATATGCGCTCATAACTCTTCATTCATGCAATGGATTTGCAAACGTATTATATGCAATTGTGATATTATGCAATTTGTGACAGAATTCGAACGCACATTGCAGATTCGGTTATGATATTGTTGCCTGTGCGAACGGGAAAGTTTTGCTTGAAACCGAGTGGTATACCAGTATCATTAATGTTTTGAGCCTGAGTCAGGCTATGATCCGGCTTGTATCTATTATCCAATTATCTGTTAAGATTCGTTTATGATAGCTTGTGCAACAACCTCTCTCTGCAGTATGTTTATGTACGCTCGCTCATTCCTTCGCATCTATTGTAGCGACCAATAACATCTCAGTGCTTTCATTTTCATGTTGCCAGTGATAGTGTTCTGGTTTGTGCAATTTTCATCTTTGTGAGCCAAGCAATTGCCATTGTTGCTTTTTCTCCGCTCTGAATTCGTTAACGTTGCAACAGATTATCTCATTGATATGCTCAAACTGACATCGCCGCGTTTTGCCAATATCAACATGTTTTCGAGTGATGCTAAATGCGTGTTGGTTGGTATGGAAAGAAAACGCATTAATAAGTTGATGTAAGTTGATTTAAGTTTCGGCTGAATATTCGCTTGCGATGTCAGTTTTTTGTATAATTTGTTACCCAATGACGGGTAATACTGAATGGATCCATTTAATGCGATTCTCAAGCTGTATAAGGAAGAAAGCTTGAACTTAGGTGAGCATGTTAGGAAGAACGTCATCGTAACGATTTACAACTCTCAGGTTGTGTGGATCGTTTACCTCCATCCTGGGTAATTCAACCAATTGATCATATAATATGAGTGGAGTACTGCATTAGGAATTAAAATAGTAATGCAAATCGTAGCGATCGCAATGTGATGGTTATTGGTAGGCGGCTCGTCAGTATTGATGTTAATGTCAAACACACACTTGGCATAAGCTCTGGCGTTCAGTAATTTCCTTGTAAACAATTTTACATTCGTTGAATATCGCAGGTTATCATGCGACATGCTCATGACTATACGATAATAAGCTATCATTTATTAAATAAGCATGAAAGTTTATGTTGATTTAAAGAATGAACGACAACTTTAGGTTTATGTTCATTCAACACATTCAGAATCATTCGCATCAAACATTCATTGAACTTCTCCAACTTGGTGATAATAATTGATCGCGCATGTTATTTTGCTTCAAATCCTTAAGAATGAATCAATGTCGCGACCAAAATAGCGCAAATTTTGAAAGTATCAGTTGGAAGTTTTTGAATGAAATATGCTTTCATTTATTCAGTGTCGTCGACATATATGTAGGGGTATTTGGCACACGAGTTCTCATGAATGTAAGATTGTACTGTTGAAACATAAAGATTTTGTGATCAGCCGATGATTCGACCTCGTTCAGTTGATACAATCGCGAGTTTCACCCGGCAAATGCCCGGACAAATTCAGTATGCCGACATCAAATGTATCTTTGGCCTGCTCGCCATCTGTGACGAAATTCTTCGGGATCTTTATGGAAACCTTCAGTAGACATTCCTGCAATATTCCCAATAAGGAATTGTTTCGTTGATGACTGGAATATTTATTAGATTTTTTTGATATTTTGTCGGTCACTGACAAATGACTGTTCAAATGTTGTATTTATTTGAGAGCTCAGCCAAATCAGACAAGTTCAAAGGTTTCGGGAACTCTCAGTTAAGGAGCTCATTGAGCACTCGTCAAATTGCAAACGTTTGAAAACCGTTGGACAGGCAGCAGCTCTCTAAAATCAGAACTTGAATTGAGCTTTGTGTTAGTGAGGATATGATATAAACTTTGTCAGTAATAGTAAAAACGAAATCATTGGTAACAATAGCTTCCATATAATATTGCGAGTAGTAGATGCATGGGAAGTGTTTTACCTTGCGTTCATCGTTACAATTGTGATAGATATTCAGTTTCGGATCAATTGTCGTCAGTTCGTTCTCATGTCCACTCAAATAAAATGTTCCGTTCGAATCGCTTTTTCCTTCGTCCATCAAATCATCCAAATCCACTGAATTACTATCACGTATATCATATGATTCATGATTTTGCTTCTTAACAAACTGATAAAACACGATTGATAAGCCATGAATATGTTCCAAACTGCAGCTTGCGATTAGCAGCATGAACAAATCATAATCATCAAAATAATAGCAGTAGCGATAGCAGAAGTACCCACCTCTTGGGAAACGGTTGGAACAGGTGCTACAACATAAGATTGTGCGTCATGAAAGAAGTNAAAACATACGATTATGCATAAAACTTACACGTATCAGCATCGAACAGTTTCAATTTCACATTCGCCATCGGCTCTCCATTGCAGAGAAGTTTGCCTTTGACAGCAACACTTTGAGTTCTACCGATTTGAAGCAGCGATGGCAGGGCACTTACGAACGATATTGTGGCCAAAAAGAAAGTGCCAATCAAATGGAATGAATGCATCTGATCCGAAATCCTAAAATTTCTTCAACAAACCACTTTCTGATCGAAACTACTCGAAAATGTAAGGCAAAATTGTTCTATTTCAAACAACTTCATGATGAAATACGCTCAAAGACATACGGAAAACAGTATTAAGAGAACGTGAAAGAATAATCCGCATTGACAATAATAATCACAAAAAGCAAGAAAAAAAAAACAACATTTGAGCACGATTAGTTTTGAAAACCGATTGAACGTGAAAGCAAAGTCAAAGATTGTAATTCATGTGAAGTTAGCTGAATAATTAACATTATCAAAAGATGTTTCCTTCAATGTTACTGAAATCACTTGAACATGAGTACTCAGCAAAATTGAATCAGAAACCTCACTAAATCAGTGTTGAACAATCATACCAACGATCACCGCAATACTAATAGATTACCAATCTAGGTTGACGAACAGCAGGTCAACGTTGACGCTGAAGCAGCAGTCAGTTATTGTTTGTTCAAAAATTACTGCGCTCTTCGGCTCGTCGTCCCATTCACATCTTCTTATGACTCGTCTCAGCTCAGTCACCCACTTCGAAACCTGTTTTTCGCAAAATGGTTTCGGTTCATATCCAATCAAATTATCAATCATGTTCCATTGCATTTGCCATCGATTCAGTTGTATAGCACCCACAAAAACACTGCACTCGTCATAATCAATTTTTCACCGTTCATTTTCAACATTTATGGGCACAAAAACAACATTACGCAATCGTCAACAATTTGACGAATCATATCATCGAAATTTAAAATAGTGATAAACAAAAACAAATTTCTTCGGAGGTGATCGCAGTTCGATTTAACGAATGAGTCATGAAACGGAATTTTCGTTTTAATATTTCATTATAAGTAATCTTAAATGACTCCTCTGAATGGTTGAAATACCATGAAAAAGTATTCTCAATCATACGAACTGCTGGACTGAACAGCAGAAATTACANACTTACGGATTCCTCACGACAACACCAAATGATAAGCAACACCATTATTTTATATTATTCATTTATCAGTTTTGTTGAAGTTCTTCTTAATAATCTTATTGCTAGAAAGTGATTTGCTCATCAGAGCGATTGGAATACTCAGAAATTGAATATGTTGAACGTATCAATTGTATCAATCCTCCTTTCACATGCACTTCTTCTTGATTCAAGCTGATTACAATGCCACTGGAGAGTATCTTGCAAAAAAAATTTACATATCATT